TACATTTAGGCTATCCATCGGATAGTAGCCTACCAAAATCTTATTAACAGTAGAAGTTAAATCTTACTGTAGTCTTCAAATCTGGGTACTGTCTTACGTTTTAAAATCAGAAAGGGAGTTTGGTCCCATCAGGCTAACGTGACAGTCATGACTCATGCAGCTGTAAGGTTTTCTTTACTTGCGATCTTTACAACACGCATTACATTACGTATGTCATGGCACACTCGTTTTATGCGTATTTGGCGCCACCTATTGTTGTGGGTGTATTTTTGACATGTCAAAGTCTAGACCCTGAATATAAGACGTTTTTTCAGATGTATTTCCAAGAAAAAAAACATCGTCCTATATTCGGGTCAATACGGTAGATATAGGCTACTTAATTTAATTTTATATTAGCACATATTTTTTATAATCCTACTGCTCAAAATACCTTGGATTTTCCCAAAATAACCTCTATATGGAGTCAAGATATATTTTAGTTGTTGATATGGACTACGTTGACGAGAGTGATGTAGTTTTGACCTAAATATGATTTTCAGTTACAATAATTAATCCTAAAATTCGACATTAGTAACTTACTTTTAGCAGCATCAGTCGCGCGCGCACTCACAAGATCTCCCGGTTCTTACTTGTGAATTCAGTTCACTGGAGACTCGCACTAAACGGTTCATTTGAATCAGTGAGTTGTCGACTCGAGAACAGCTGCAATCGGATCATTCTAATTCGTGAATGAATTGTTTGGTGCAATTTGTGAACCGATTTAAAAGGTTAATTGAAAAGAATACGTTCGTTCTTGAATCAGACACCGCTTCTGCGTGTCGGAGCACGTGATATATTTTAAGGAGTAATGATATGTTTTATGAAATATAGTGAAGTAAAAAGTAGAAGTAAAAGTTAAAGTTACTCAAAATAAAACTACTCCAGTAAAGTACAGATACTTGAAAAATGTACTTAAGTACAGTAACGAAGTAAATCTACTCCACCACTGCTAGCTAAATATTTAGTCTGGTTGTTGAAGAGAATTTGGTATATTTAAACTTACATATTTTGAAAATACTGTATTCTAATCACTTCTGGCATATTTTATGCCGACAGGGTTGACATGTTAAGCTTTGGCAAAGCAAGTAAGCAAACTCATACGAAGAAAATGTGTCAACTGAAAAGTCACCAACTTGCTCACCTCAGCCATTGAAATTCCCACCACTGAAGAGACAAAAAATCTGTTGTCCTGATGTCACTAAAAGGGATGGCCTTAAAGGGACATTAAGATAGGACCTATTCCCCAATAGGACAGGGTGGACAACCATTCAAGGGACATGAACAAACTCTTCTTTTTTATTAAATAAAAATAAAACTCTCCAGCCCGCTGGCCGCACCGAAGACAAGCCCGCCAACCACGTCACGTTTGCCGGCCGCACCGAAGTGTGCTGGCCACGCCGTTGTCAAGGCCGCCGGCCGGGGCTCTCTCCAGCACGCCGGCCTCACTGAAGACAAGCCTACTGGCCGCCCAGATGTCGGCTTGCCAGCCACGCCGAGTTCGCTGGCCATTCCTATGGCAAGCCTGTTGCACATTCAGATGGCAAACCCGCCAGCAGTTCATATGGCAAGCCCGCCAGCCGGGGCTATCTCCAGCCCGCTGACCAGGCCGATGTCAAGCCCGTTAGCCGGGACTATCTCCAGCCTGCTGGCCACGCATATTGCAAGCCTGCCGGACCGTAATATGGCAAGCCCGCAGGACGCTCAGCACTCTCATCCGCTGACCACGCCTTTCCCCCCCAATCCAGAAGAGGAAACTAGGGGTGAGGAGAAGGGTGTCAGCTGTGGCCGCAGAGTTCGTTCCAGTGTCGGCCCGGGCCCCAGAGTTCGCTCCAGTGTCAGCCCAGGCCCCAGAGTTCGCTCCAGTGTTCGCTCCCAGGAAGGGCTCCCGACCCCCCGTCCAGCTCAGGAAGGGCTCCCGATCCCCCGTTCAGCCCAGGAAGGGCTCCCAATCTCCAGTTCAGCCCAGGAAGGGCTCCCGACCCCCCA